GAGGTCTAGAAATAGGGGAGGAATTAACCAATCTCCCATTGGCCACATCTTCTCTCTTCCCAGTTGGTCACAGAATTTCAGGGTGGGACCTCAACTTCTTTCTGGGCTGGAATCCTCTCTTTAGCATTCCCACCAGTGGTCGCTAACCACGTGCTTGCACACCCGCAGTGATGGGGCGCTCGCTACTTTTCAGGAAATCAATACCATCTTTGGACAGCTCTCATGGTCAGGACTTTCAGTTTTCTGAGCCCTCATAAGCATCCTGGGAGCTTCCTGGGGCCATTAGATCAAGGCCGATTCTGCAAATAGGTCAAAACCTCCTGAGGGTAAACAGCCCCAGGCCCTTCTCCATGCACACTCTCTCCACCACCTGCGTGCTGCTCAGAACACAGAGCAATCTTCCAGGCAGGGGACTATGGGCACAGCCAAGGGACACCCCCATCTCCTTTGTTCTAGAGACATTTCTGGTTTCATGAGCCCTAGGCAGTTTTGCTACGGTTCATTCTTTTGGAATTTATTTCTACCTAAACTCCCAAGGCAAACTCAGAAATGTTGGTAATCTGACCCAAAGTAGGTAGAGGTAAAAGATTCAAACAAAGAGATAAATCATTCACCCAGGGCCTGGTGTGTGTGAGTCCACAGGTATGTAAGCACATGTCCAGGGGTCACGGGTCCCCTCAAGTCTGCTACCCTTAGATTCATCCAGGGCTGAGGCTGATGGATTTAGCCACAAAATCCCCAGAAAACAGTTGAAAAGGTGGCCTCTGGCCCAGCAGACCTGCCAGCCTCTTTCTTGTAGGTCTTGGCAAGTCTAACACCCCCTTCTAACCTCATTTCTCTTTCTCTTAACGCCTCTTTCTAGGAATTCATGACCTGTCTTGCACAGAGCGTTTTCAGTTCTCGAAAGCATTTCACATTCCCTACCTCATTTGATCTCCACAAGAATCGTGTGAGGCGGTTAGGAGATGGGTTATTTTCCCATTTCCCAGGTGGAGAAACCGAGGCTATGAGGATAAGCGAGCGAAAAGGCTTCGTAAACAAGTGGCGCGGAGGGGCCTGAACCACGCTCGCCTCTGCCCCTACCTTTTCATTCTCAGCTCAGGTACTTCCTGGCTTCCCTGAACTACTTCGCACAAGGTAGGTCACCCACAGGCCCCCAAGATAAAAGATTCAGGGGCAGGTGTACCTGAGTAATATACAATGTAAACGAGATGCAAACTAGCATACCAGAAATGAGTAGCTCAGAGCTCTCGGCCCTTTTGGGTAACTGAGCTAGAGCTGAGGCTCCAGCTCCAGCTTGTCTCTCAGCTCTGCAAACCCTCAGACGAGGAGCTGGGAACCTTCCCGCTTTCTCCCCACCCCACCCCCGGTCACCAGCCATGCTGGGTACAGCACAGAACAGCTCTCAGGAGCCAAGAAGATAACGTAGAAAGTCGAGGTGAGAAAGAGTAGTCAGTTCCGTTGTCCTTTGAGGTGTTCAAGCAGATGCCCCATATGGAATTCATCCCTCAGACCTTATACAGATGCACTGATTTCCATGGACCCTGAGATCCTCCAAGGAGGTACAAGGGGCCCAGAAGCCCAAAGGAGCCCAGGCAATGGGAAAGCTGGAACCACATCCCGGGGGTCCTGCTTCCTAGTCCAGCACTCTGCAACTGACTGTTGTGTGCCTTACGCTTCAAAAATACATGTAGCCCCCAGAGACTATTGTAAACATAGCCCACGAGTGGGGTTCCTGACTATATACACGTGCTTATGTACACACACGCACATGGGAACACACACTGGGCACACACACATCCGGCACGCCTGCGCAAATACTCAAAATGGGAAAAAGGTTTAGAGACTAGGATTCAGAGGCCTCGGATTTGGGACCAGCCTATGCTAGGAATCCCTTGAATGACCACAGACAAGCCCTTTGAATCTGAGCCCATCTGTAAAATGGAGACACACTACTACTTGCCTCCCAGAGCTGCAATGAAGATCAAAGCAGATGCCGTGAGTAGGTTTTGAAAACTGTCAGAAAGCTCTTGGGCCGTCTACACTTAATGCACTTGAGCTGTGCTGGGGGACTGGAGTCAGCGGCCTGAAAAGCACCTGGTGTCTTGGAAAGGGGCTTGGTTTGTCAGTCAAAAAAGGCCCGCTTTTCCATTCTGGCTCCTCTGTCTTCTAACTAGGTGACTTGGGCAAGTCCCGCCTACTCTTGGGACCTCCCTTTCCCCATCTTGTAGAAGGAGAGGTTTGGAGCGGGGAATCCTGGGATCCTGTGCCTGTAAGGGCCTGCCTCTCCCTCCTGAGGCCAGAGCGTTGAGGGCCACCTGCTGTCCAGTGGCTCTTGCCCCCAGAAAAGATGGTGGCAGGAACTCTTCCCAAGACGAGCAGAGCCCAGCAGAGCCAAACTCCAAAAGTACCTGGTTGAACAGTATCTCTGGATGCCCTAGGCCAGGGGCAGGTGGGAGGGTGCAAAACGAAGCCCTAGTCCAGGGTCGTGAGGACCGGAGCTAATGGGGAAATGCCACTTCTGAACCTTGCAGTCGGCCCCAGCGAGGGCGTAGGGTGAGGCGGCCAGCGGAGGAACTCCGATTCGGGGACTCCACCCGCTGCGCCCGGGACAGCCTAGTGCCTTGATTTCCCAAGTTCTCCACGCGGCGGGGAAGGGCAGGGCAGGTCTTGGACGCCACGAGAGACCCGGCTCAGGGCAGTCAGACCCCCTCCCGGCGTTGCACGCACCCCTCCTCCCCGGGAGCGTCTCTGGGCTCTTTGGTGCGCCTGCCTCGGTGCCAGGACCCCTCCTTACCCAAAACTTGGAGCCGAGCTCCCCTGAGCCGCACAGGGCGTCCATGGGACCGAGTCGCGGCGACCAGGAAGGTGAGCGCAACCCTGCCCCAGCCCGGGATGCGGCGGTGCCCCAGCCTCCTCCGCCCCGCGCTCCGCCCCCGCCCCCGCCCGCCCACCCCAGCCCTACCCCAAAGCCCTTTGGTTCGCATTCTCGTGTTCCCGCGGCTGAGACAGAGCTTCCCTGAAGCTGCGGCTCTGGGAGGGACTTTGGGACAGGGGTAGGGGACCGATGACACAGTTGACAGCCCCTTTGAGTGGCTACTGTGCCGCGCAGGAGAGATGCTACTCCAGATACTGAGGCTGGTAGGTCCGGAGCAGGGTCTGTTTCCAACGGCCTTGCATCCATTCACACCGTGCACAACTCTGCTGCGGGCCGTGATTCACTGAAACCTGGAGAGGGACCTAGCAAGACTCCCTCCGGTAATAGATCCTTGAAAAGGTCACGTTCATTTCTGGAGCTCGGTCTCCTTATCTGTGAAATGGGAAGAGCTTGTGTGCCCAGACAGTCCGAAGGCCAGCTTTCCCCACAGGTTGCAGGGGAAATCCACACATCTCCACACATCAGACATCCACACACAATGTGCACATGTGTGCGTGTACCCGAGGACAGGGGAACAAACAGGTCAGGGGGCCCGGCATCATCCCAATGGTGGCTTCCCATGAGTCCCTTAAATCGCTGCCTTCCTGAGATCTTGTGGCTCCCTGATATTGTGGGGGACACTTCAGTGCCACTCTGTGCCTCCGCTTTCATATTCATAAAACAAGGATAATCACAGTACCCACCCGGTAGGGCTACTCTGAGAATTAAACGAGAAAGATATGTGAAGCATTAAGCATGTTGCCAGTACACTTAGTAGGCACCTAACATGTGTCAATTTCCTCCACGTCAGCCTGGTCAGAATGGAGGATGGGCAGGTGAGGCCCCAGGAGGAGCCCCACATTAACACTCTCCTCGTAGGCTATCTCCACGTTCCCACTTGTAAAATAGGTTTGCAGTCAGTGGCCTCCTCCTCCTGCTTGTCCCAGCTCGGCCATGCTGGGATCCCTCCCTCCATCTCTCTCCCTCCTCCAGTCACCCTCTTTTCCCAAACAGGATTCCAGAAAGCCACTTCAGCATCCCTTCTTGGGGTGAGAAGGAATCCCCACTCTTCCTGCAGCTTTTCCTGCTGGTCCATCTCTTTCCTGCCCTCACCTCTCCAATCCTGTCCCTGTCTGCAGGGTCTGCCCAGGTTCACTCTGGCGATCCATTCCCTGGCACTTGCTCTGAGCAGCAGGCGAGGGCAGATGCCAGCAAGATAGAATAGTAGCCAGCCACGGCCTTTCTCTCTGGGCAGGCAGGAAGTCATCAGAAGGAAGGGTTCTGGCCATGGGCTATCAGAACAGAGATCTGAGCTGGCATGGGGTGGGGCATGGGAGCAGAGGGGGATGAGGCTTCCTTCCCAGGCAATGGGACAGGTGCATCTCCCTTCCAATGGACAAGTTTTCCCAGCCCTTTGTCTGCCCACTCCCCTCCACTCACTTGGTCACACCTCCCACCTCCACTGCTGAGCCAAAGACTTTACAGAGGTTTCATGCTCTTGTCACGGTATGCTTTGAGTTATATTTAGTTGTGAAGAATCTGTCTTCCCTGCTAGTCTGAGAGGTTCCCAAGGGCAGGGATCGAATGAGTCACCTCCATTCCCACTCCATGCCTTGGGCAGTGCCTTTTGTATACTATGTGACTTCAGCAAGCCCCTAGATGTCTCCGGGACTCAGTTTCTTGAGAAACTTGGACAAGATGCCATCTAAAGTCTCTCCCTGCCCTGGTGATCTAGGCTTCTATGGCCTAAGCCTCTAGGAATCGTCTTCCAAGCCGTCTCCTAACCCCAGTCTTGGTTTTACCAGTACCTCCTGCCCCTGTGTTCTCACCTTGGTCTACCCATCAGCCTCCCCTGCTTCTCTCCCTCTTCTCCTGTTCCTTCTCTAAGGCACCAGAGAAACCATGAGGCTGGCTTGGAGCTTAGGAAAACTTGGGGACTTTCCTTCAAGGGCATTCAGGAAGCGAGCTCCCCACGCAGTCCTCCTTCCTGAAATGGGGAGCCCAGGACCAGCCCAGGCTCCCACTCAAGACACTAGCCCCAGAACTGGCCTGGTTATCCACTGGTTGGAGCTCTTGTTTGGGGCCAGGCCCTTGGGTTCTGTCTTCAGCATTGAGACTGCAGCACCATTGCCTTTGGCCCCAGCCTTCTCATGCTGCCATTGGAGGGCCCTTCTCAAGCCGGTGGCATCAGGTGGGAGCCTTCGAGATAATGGTGGGAGCCCTTGGCAATCCTCACCTTCTCCCATCTCTCTTGAGACATTCCTGGTCCCTCTTGGAATGCGCCCCCTTCCACATAGCCCTTGAATAATAACCACAATATTCTTAGGACATTATGGTTTTGGTTGTTCTCACCAGAGCAAGAAAACTGAGGCCTTGAGATGACTTGTTGTGGCAGAGGCAGGACGAGCTCCACATCGTCTGAATGCCAGCTGTTTCCATGCAAGCTCCTTGGCAGGATGCATAGCCTACATCCTTAGCTGTTGCACCTGTGCTGCCGGCCTACCTTCACCATTTCTTGGGCTACTCTCCCCCTATGCCTCACTTCCTTTTCTGCACCTGGCACTCTCTTCATCCTTGAAGATTTCGCTCAACCCTTCCCATCCACCCTGCCCACCATGCCTTCTTTAAACCTCCCTGACCCAAATCCTGGGCTAGGGACCATTACTCTGCATAGCTCTCCCTCCCTGTGTTGTATTCACTGATTGTCTTGCTTACCTCCCCCAGAAGAAGGTAGACAGCTTAACAAGAGGGACAAAATCTCATTTATTGCTGTATCCTTAGCATTCAAGACAGTGCCCCGCAAAGTCATTCCTCAGGAAATGTTTGTTGACTCACTAAACAAATATCTCATGTCCTAAGGAGAGGTCATAGGTAGTGAGGCCTCTGTGGCATTAGACACAATCCCAGCAGTGGGCACGGTCCACTCTGCTTTTGACTTTTCAGAACCAATTTGTTTCCAACTGGAGGCTCCTGAGATGAGCAATAAAGATCTGTGAGTTGGGCTGCAGAAGAGGGAGGGACTGGGCCTCCCCCAGCTTGAGTGGCCCCAGCCCCGGGCTCCCTCCCCAAATGACTACAGCTCCAGGCAGGATGAACAGAATATGTGCTGCGCCTCCCCTACCAGTGAATATCCCAGGGGAACTCAGCATCAGGGATTTCCTGGCAGGGAGATGGAAAGATAAGATATGAAAGGTAC